CCAGCCTGGGTGAGGGCCTGATGGCTGTTTGCAGGCTGGCCACAGCCCCTTCAGTGTGGAGGTCCCCACTGGGGTGCCTGGCCATCCGGTGTGAGGGGCTAAGGGCTGTTTGCAGGCTGGCCTTAGCCCCCAGCCACCCAAGCTCCCAGTGGAGGCTGGTTGGAAGCAGGCATCTGGGATTGATTTAGCTTCTGTAATTGAAACTTTGTTGCCTTTAGCGGAGGCCACAGCGGGCTCAGGGCTGGCAGGAAGCTTGGCTTCCTCAATCGCCTGGGCAACCAAGCCTCCTGCTTGCTCCAGCTCCATGGCTGTTGGCCGCCATCTTGGTTGGGTAAATTTGAATATAGTCGCTCTGATGAGCTGGTGGCATGGTTTAGGGCATAGTGAAGGTACGGTCAATTAGCGTCTTTGTCTTTTATTAGTGTAGATGATTCAAAGCCTACATTCTGAATTCACATCTGGAGTCTACCACTTACTAGTTCTATGTCTCCTTACTTCAGGGTTGTTTTGAAGATTAAACTGATAAGTTTACATAAAGCTTATTATATAATGCCTAATACATACAGCTTAATTTATGGTTAGTGGCTTTTATTATTCTAGGAAGAGGAAACTATTTGCAAGAATGGATATGTAAGAGTATGCCAAATCTGAACTACAAGTTATTCAGCCTGACTTGAAAGGAGGTTATACTTAGGATGGAAGTGATGATCTGGAGAGTTAGGCAAGGACCACATCAACAAGAGCTATGATCTATAATAATAAAAGCATAATATGCAAATCTACCAAACGACCCAACAGCAGAATGACCATCCAGACCACCTTCCAGACGACCACACTATGACACGCACTGGCACCAGGCCAGCCAAGCAATCGCACCCCACGCCTGTCGCCCACAGTGGCAACAGTGGTCGGGGAGGGAGGACAGCACCACACAGATGGCAAGCAGTGAAAGCGGCAGGGGTGGGACTAGCTGCCAGCATCCAGGGGAAGGAAAGCCTGATAGGCCCTGATCACTGGCCAGGCCTAGGAACCCTACCCAAGAGGTCCTGGTCCCCCTGCCCCACCCACACACACGCACACACACACACACACACACACACACACTCCACCCCCCATGCACTAATTTCGTGCACTGGGCCTCTAGTGCAGTGATGGCGAACCTCTGACACATGTGTCAGAGGCGACATGCAAACTCATTTTTTTGGTTTATTTTTCTTTGTTAAATTGTTAAATGGCATGTAAATATATAAAATAAATATCAAAAATATAAGTCTTTGTTTTACTATGGTTGCAAATATAAAAAAAATTCTATATGTGACACAGCACCAGAATTAAGTTAGGGTTTTTCAAAATGCTGACATGCCGAGCTCAAAAGGTTCGCATCACTGCTCTAGTGTTTTAATAAAGATAAGGTACTTTCCTCAAAGAGGTAACAGGTAGGGTGCTGTTTGACTTCAGAGAATGAATGATCTCTGATATTTCATCTGGGCTTTCAAATTTGTTCTTAGCATTCAGGCTCATGTGAGCTAGAAGGCTTCCCAGCAAAAGTTGGAAATGTTACACAACAATCCTATTATCTTTCATTTGCAGGATATGATGGATGATATCTGTCAGGAGCAGTTTCTAGAGCTGTCCTATTTGAATGGAGTACCAGAACCCTCTCGAGGACGTGGGGTGCCAGTGAGAGGCCGGGGTGCTGCCCCTCCTCCTCCACCTGTCCCCAGGTAAAAATAATGTAAACAACCAGAAATAGGATGTAAATTTGACCACTAGTACCATCTCTCTCTTTTTGGTGCTTTTATCTCCAGCTTAGAAGGAGTCATATCCTTCATTGAGTGGAATTCTAGCTCTTGAGCATTTTGGCCATAGTCAAGTGTAGCAGTCCTTCTGAAACTTTTGGTCTTTTAATTTTGGACAGTCATAGCATTTTTACTTTTTTAATATGTTTTTATTGATTTCGGAGAGAGATAGAAACATCAGTGATGAGAGAGAATCATTGATCTGTTGCCTCCTGAATGCCCCCACTGGGGGGTCGAGCCTGCAACCCAGGCATGTGCCCTGGCTGGGAATCGAACCATGACCTCCTAGTTTTCATAGGTCGACGCTCAACTGCCAGTTATAGCATTTTTAAATGATCACTGACATTAGCATTTTACCTTTTGTTACTGATCTTTATGGAGTGTTCCAACTCTCCAAAGCAGTTTATTGTGGGACCTGGGGAATCTTCCATTGTGGGGTTTTTACCTACCCATACTTTCCTCTAGGTTTTAAGAGTTTTTTTTAAGGCATCATAAAATCTGGCTAGTTCGAGAATTTGCACACAAATCTGACCATGTAAGTAGCCTATTTATTAAAAAACCTCTTTCAATAATAAAGATAAATTATAAAAAAGAAAGTAACTAAAAAAAATAATCTCCATTTAAAATAAACTTTCCTAGATGATGTGTTATGGAATCATGCACCTAAAACCTGTATAATTTTGTTAACTAATGTCACCCCAATAAATTCAATTTAAAGGGGGGAAACTTTCTTTTTATAGGGGCCGTGGTGTTGTACCACCTCGTGGGGCTTTGGTGCGTGGTACGCCAGTGAGAGGAGCCATCACCAGAGGTGCCACCGTGACTCGAGGAGTGCCACCCCCACCTACTGTGAGGGGTGCTCCAACACCAAGGGCACGGACAGCAGGCATCCAGAGAATACCTTTGCCTCCACCCCCTGCACCAGAAACATATGAAGATTATGTAAGAAGTTTGAACAATGTGCCATTTCCCACTACCTAGAAGGTTGCCAAAGGAAGTTGAATGACAGGGCCTTGGTCCTTGATGTAGGTGGCAGGGATTGCCTGTAAGATTCAGAATCTGCTCTTTTCTCTTTCAGTGAATGTTAACCTAGGAGAAGATTTTTCCATTTTAAGCATGGTTTGCTACCATATGTATGTAGATTAAACAGGAAATAAGCTGTTCCTCCATGTATAGTATTTTACTAAAGGGGTCTCCCACTACTACCAGTTCAACTTCGTACCTTATTTCCTGCTCACACTTGGTTTTGGTTTTTGTTTCTTTTTTGTTCGTTTGGTTGTTTTGTTTCATGTTTTAAAAATAACCCTTTCTCTCTTGACTATTTCACAATGGGTGTTAACATTTGGGAGGGAAAGTTCATGTTCTGTTAATGTAGAAGCCTGCCATCCTCCCATGGGATAGAATTACCATTTCTACTGTCTGTGATTCTGACTTGTTATTTCATTTCATTTGTTCTAGGGATATGATGATACATATGCAGAGCAGAGTTATGAAGGCTACGAAGGCTATTACAGCCAGAGCCAAGGGTAAGTCAGGCAATAGAGGTGCTGTTTCTTGTCCTGGGGATGGATGGCAGGGCGGGGGTTGGGGGCAGTTGAAGGGACAGAGATTTAGGCAACACAAATCTAAGGAGCAGTATGGCTTACCTTTTGAGGGTATCTGCTATGCTTTGGACATCTGTAAGTTTGGATAATTATGAATCTTGAATTTATTGTAGAATCTGAGAATAGAAAAATTCCTGAGCTGTGACTACATGGAAACAAAGGAGAAATGCCTTTAAATTACTTGATTTATTTTTTAAAAATATCACAATCACAGTAAAATTGTATAAAAGTTTAAAAGGAAACTAGAATTCCACTGCAATAGCTTGGGTTCTTTTCTGCACTTTTATAATTCTACATGGGGGATAAGATAGTTCTCATGTTTGTTTATTCTCTTCCAGTGAGCACTATGGTCAATTTTATATTGTCCTTTTCCACTGTAAATTGTGTGGTATCCATTTTTCTTTGCTACAGTTGTTACCCATTTTCTTATGAGTACATAGTTATACATATGTTGGTAATGTTTTATGGTTTGAAGATGGGGGGTGAGCATTTTCCTTTATTATATACACAGTAAAATGACTGAAACATGGAAGTATTTGAGAGAAAGGTGAAACTGAAACATAGTTGCTGTATGGCTCTCTAACACTCTGTCTTTGGCTTTTAGGGACTCAGAATATTATGACTATGGACATGGGGAGGTTCAAGATTCTTATGAAGCATATGGTATGTCTTTATTTCTGTGTTGGGGCAGAATGTGCAAGTAAGTGCCTGAGAGAATCCTGGATTATTGAGGGTCAGACGGTCACACACCTGAGGAGAACCGTTTAAAGGTCAAGTTGTTGGTAGATGTAACAATAGGAATCCTACTCTTAACTTAAATTTTGTGGTGTGCGGTAGAGATAGGGGTACTATTACTATTGGAAGGCTATGAGAATGTCCTAAACTAGGGCTCAGCAAACTAGTTTGCCTGGTTGGGACAGCAAACTTTTTTTTAAATCCTCACCTGAGGATGTTTTTTCTATTACTTTTTAGAGATAGTGCAAGGGGAGGTATGGTGAGAGGGAGGGAGAGAAAGAGAAACATCAATATGAGAGATACATCGATTGACTGCCTCCCACACTGGACCCTGACCAGGGGTAGGGAGGGAATCGCAACCCAGGCCCCAGGCCCTTGGACCGGAATGGAACCTGCGACCCTTTGGTGCACATACCAGTGCTCTAACCTCTTTGCAACACCAGCCAGAGCTGGAGCAGTAAACTTTTAAGCTGATGTTGATTTTTTTTCCTACTTTAGGCCAGGAGATGGCTAGACCTAGGGTATGTTGCTGGGCCTTTGCTGCTGATACCTAGACCACATTGATAGATAATAAGAATTTCATTATATCCAATTCTGCTCTTCTGCCCTACCTCACTTTTAAAAACAATTTTGTATCTCATCGAACAGAATCCCAGTGTAGAGGAAAGAATAGCTGAAAGAGACTGAGATTGCAAGTAGCTAGCCAGAGCAAATTGGGGCAAGAATAACACCTGTTAGACTCAGGTTAGAGACAGTGGGGCTGGAGCCAATTCAGGGCAATACTGGCGTCAAGATCCTTACTGTTTTGGAGACATCTCAACTCCTAAGAGAGCTATAGGGGCTGGAATGGCTGCATAACCAAACTGTCTTCCCTGAGGTTTAGTTGAGAATGCATTGCTCAAGAGTGTCTCAAGAGCCATTGAAGGCCTTGTGTTAATGGGCGCCAGAGGGAGTGCCAGGTGGTCACAGATGCAGAGAGGGAGCAGCCTTTTAAATTTGAAATATTTTAAACATACCTAAAGGAATTCTAGAATCCTTGGCAAGAGGTTCCGCAGTTGACAGATCTTCTTAAGATGCTAGTTGACAATCTCCCTCTTCCCCTAGCTGAAAAAGGGGAGCCTCTTAGGGCCTCCCACAAATGGACAAGCTGAGCTCAACGACTCAGCACGGTATGTAGTAACCACTTAGCTACTTGCCCAGGGAAGCAGTTTTTACTAATTCTAGCTAAATGGCACTGGACCGTTGCCATCAGTAACTGTTCTATTCATATGCCACTATTTAGAAGAGTCGTATGATTGCTCTGGGTTAGTTCCATCCCTTCAGTGAAGCAGCACAATGGGCCTCTGTATGCGTTGACTATATTGCATTTCTGTTTTGCTGGATAAAAGACTGGACTGAAAGAGGCAGACTGCTCCTTATGCCCCTGGTATGATGTTACCATGGTAATCTGTTCTGATTTCTGCCTTTATAAAGAGAATTAGAAAAAATAAACTGTCTTGTTGGTACCCAGAAACAGTTTGGAAAGTGATGGACATATCTATTATACTAGACATAGAAACAGGCTTAGATAAGGTGCTGTGACTTTAGATCCATATAAGGGATTTTTTAACATATTCTTTTCGGGGGGGTGATTTTGGTTTCTCCCCCTTATCATCAAGACTTGCCTCCCATCATCAATATTTATTGAGCATTTACAGTGTACTAGGCGCAACAGAACATACAAGAAAACATTGTCCATGCTCTTGAGGAGCTTACATTCTAAAAGAAAAAAATACACCTCTTTCAAAATGGTATTTTTATTTGGTGTTTTTGCAAGGTACTTAGGGATATATTTTTAATTGATTTCATAGAGGAAGGGAGAGGGAGAGAGAGATAGAAACAGCAAGAATGAAAGAGAATCATTGATTGGCTGCCTCCTGCACGTCC